CAACATCATTCCCAACCACCTTATCTTATTCAATTCAGTACACCTGCTCAGGATTGAACTGCATGTCAGCAGATTGGTTGAGCACTTCGTCTTGAGCTATGTCTAGTAATCATAGATTTGATTTATTGACATTTCACATATATGAACCATTTTTTAATATTTTTAAAATAATTTTATTCATATATTACTTTACTCATCTTTCTATAGCTATCTGCACATGTTTGCCAAAGGACGTTTCACATTATTTCTCTCCTAGGCCTCAATTGCCCTCATCTCATGATTGAAAAACTCGGCAAATGTGGATAAAAATTGTCGTAATGATAAAAATTATTTCCAAGGAATAGAGATTCAGTAATTGACAGACCTTCCATTTGCAAATATTGGTTTGTGTCTTTTCTATGACAATTGAAATATCTTCAATAGCATCCCATGGCGAGCAATTTCAAAGATGCAATTGGTTGACGCTGAATGCAAAACGTAGGCAAACGTGAGCAAACAAATTTGATACCTGCTCAAGCCCAATTTTGGGAAGAAATTAACAGGTGAAAGTCACAATGATTTGGAACTGAATATGAATTTAATAATTAATTTACACGTTATACAATTCATTGCCATTTAGATTTATTGACAAAATTACTTTCTTAATTTTTTATTTTTAAAAATACAGAGGTCATTCACTGTCACATTGGGAGAAGCAAATAGGTACAATTTATGAAACCATATTGAATCACATGTTTGGAAACTTAATCTCCATAAAGTTGGTGCGATGATTAATAACAATCGACTGTAGAACACATTTCATAATTTTGCCCTCAATTCAAGGTGATTAGATATGATGAGAGACAGAGTAGAAAATCAGAGAAAATGTGAAATCTTTACGAAAAGTTTGAATTAATTAATTTAATTATAAAAGAAGAATATGGATTGGAGAAGATACGGGTTAATTGTGATCAAAGAAATCGGAAGAAACAGTAAATAAAGTCAATGATGACGACACTTCTTCCACTTCCGCTACGTTGAGATTTCGATTTATTTATTAATAGTCAATGAAACAAATGAAGAGGAACACCTTTTTGCATAGAGCATATTTTATCAGCTTTTACCTACTGAAATCAAACAGAAATTGTGCTTCAGTCTGGCCCATATTTCGAAAGTTCGAATTTCCCCGCTTCAATGAGTTTGTCATTTAACGACTCAATTTTTACCATTTAACTGGCTTTATGCTTCATGGCGTGCATTCAATATGACTTCGAGTGTCCACTAACTAATGTGCTCTACCATAATTCTTCCCTTGTGTGTGAGCACCCTCAAAAGTCACCTTGAGTATTTTGAAGTTTAACATGACTGCAATTGTTAACATTTCCTCAGAAGTGCCACCTTCTCGTTTCAAGGAAGCTTCAACTCTTCACTCTTCAACTTGTTCACGAATTGTGACAACACCGCATGGAAATATAGAACCTCCAGCAGTTGTTGCAGATATCAAAGGGTAGGTGGGACAAAAATAACGAAGTAAGCTATTTGGGCTTTTTTCATTTCTCTGTGGCATTCGTTATAACATAAACTAAAAGCCATCGACTTAATCAAATAATACAATTAAACACCAAATGGAATTTTAAGCAATAAACCAACTTTCAACTGTCTGGAATATTATTTGTCGTGAGATTTGAGTGCAATGAAATTCCTTCCTAATGATCGACTGCTATCCATTTTAAGTTTATAAAGGTGTTTTGAAATATTTTTTGGCAAATATTCACATTGGACACAAGGCTAATTTCAAATAACACATCAACTTTAACAAACGAATAGATTTCAATTATTATACCACCAAAATGACAAACAAAGTAACTTAGTTTTGTGTGATGATGAATGACTAAATATGTAAATTAATCAAATCCCATTCTTTGATTCAATGGCAATTTGCTAACATTTTTCATATAGAGGGAAAACGGATAGAGAGGTTATATTCTAATCAATCTCCTGGCAAGAAGATATGCATGAACATTTTAATGAAGTCCTATTCACATGCCATAAAACGGTGTGACAGAAAGATAAGACCATGTGGGTGAGGTGTATTTGCAGGTCAAGGTTATTAATGGCGACATTCAATTGCTGAAACTAAGCCTTTCTCTCCTGACCCATTGAAAACAAGACGACAGGTGAAAATGAAAATTTTGCTACTTTCTGCATATTTCAGAATATTATGCTTAATCAAGTTGTGAGAATTAATTTTGTTCAATTTCAAACAGTTTTATTCATGGAAGCATTAAATATGATTGCGGAAAAGCTACCTTCATGTCTCTTTACGAAATTATGTCTTATTTTGACAGAAAATTGAATTCAAGTGAGTTATGCTAGTAGAACGAGATCTGAAATTTGAAGCGTCTGAATATTATGTTCTTTAGGCGCTTTATGTACATAATTACCCTCAATGTCGATGATTGCCAGACAAATCTGGTTAATCTCGTTCCCTAGAAGGACCTATTCATTGACAATGAATCAATCCTGTGGCTGCTAGACTATGCTGAGAACGAAGTGCTCAAGCAATCTGTTGACATGCAGTTCAATCCTGAGCAGGTGTACTGAATTGAATAAGATAAGGTGGTTGGGAATGATGTTGTCAAATCGTGGATACTATTGGCCAGCACGAAGTGGCAAAAGCGATTTCGATTTTGATACAGTCAATCGAGTGGCATATTTCCGATTGAATACTTTGATGAAACCTGAGTTTGATTAATTGTTGTGTTAACACAACAACTTTTATACATTAATATATTTCAATTGTTAGACCACTAAAATGATTATAAAGCAGTGTGATTTTGAGTGATGATAAACGACTAAATAAGTAAATTTGTCTAATCCCGTTATTTGATTCAATGGCAATTTGCGATCAACTTGACCATTTCAGTTAGCTTCATTCAATTGGAATTGTGATAATTCAATTGATGATTAAATTGCCAAATCAACCTTTCCAAACGCATTAATGTAGGAACTAGCAATTTCTTTATGAAATTTATTAGTTCAATATATTTATCTTCAAATTAAGGCTTATTTGTTCAAAATACTTAAATTTGCGTCTAAATAATTTTAGATAAATTTCTACTTAATATTTATAAGTAGATATTGTCTGAATTATGGCGGTTGTTCGTAAAGCTATCTAAAGAAATTATCAGTTAATAAATCAACCAGAATATTGCTTGGTTGTTTAAAATTGTTCCCCAAATCGATCGGCAGCCGTTTTCAACACTCCTCATTTTTATTTGTCAAAATTTGACGGTTTACACATTAAGATATGAGAAATGGTGGCAAACATGAATTAAGTCAAAATATATCGAATTTGATTATTTTTATTGATTCTAATCGATATGTATTGATTTTACCAAGTAAATATAACGTGTACCAAAATGTTTAACCTAAATACATTCATCTTGATTTACGATTTTGACACAAAGTTTTAAAATTCCACACTTTTTTATTTCGTAGGATTAAGAAGCATGCGATAAATGAGTTTAGCAGAATACTGAAGGTAAATATTTGCTTGAACACTTTTGATTTGTATTAAATTAGATTAAACTTACTCCACCAATTTGATTCAACTTTGGGATTAGCGAGTGCGATTGAAGTAAACATGAAGTCGCCACAAACAATGTTGCCAATATGGGGTGCGCGATAGACTTAACGCCACGTTTGATATTAACAGACTAAACGTTTGGAGATGTCAAAAGCACTTCGAGATATACGCAGTTTATAATCCACTCCAGAATTGTCCCAACTTTGACTTCCTAAACATCTCACACAAAACTGTATTATAAGGAGACTTCAACGCCCATTCCACATGATGGGCCTACAAGGATACTAACATAGCTGGAAAGGAAATCGAAGACTTGCCAAACAGCAACCCTCTGTAAAGATCAACGAGGATCCCGCTACATATTAGCACTACAATGGAACCAGATCAACTCATGGCTTCCTCTTGGCTTCAAGCAACATCAGCGAGCAAAATAATTGACGATTCTGGCTCTGGTCACAAACCAGTCATCCCTAGTATTAGCATCGGCACCAAAACATGACAACGAAAGTGCCAACTAAGCTATCATGGAACTTCAAGAAGGTTGACTGGCCTAGATTCACAAACCTTTTAGAGAATGAACTTCACAGATGTTCTCTCAACTTCAACCAACATCCTGACAAACTTTGCAACAATATCACGAATATTATGATCAGATGTGCAAGGAAACTATTTCCCGAGGCAAGACTAAACACATCAGAGTGTTTTGGTCTAACCCATAGGCAAGACTAAACACTATCGAGTGTTTTGGTCTAAACACATAAACACTATCGAGTGTTTTGGTCCAAACACCTTGAGGAAGCTAAAAGAAAGCGGGACGCCCTTCGCAACACTGCTGATCAGTGTAAGAGGGACGCCCTTCGCAACACTGCTGATCAGACTGGGAGGGACGCTCTTTGCAACACTGCTGATCAGACTGGAAGCGGGACGCCCTTCGCAACACCTCTGATCGGCCTGGAAGAACGGAAGACGTACAAGCCTGGAGACGGCAGTCAGCTGTCCTAAGTCAAGCAATCTTACAAGCTTAACGGACTTCCTTCGACAAGTTCATCTCTAATATCAACTATCAAAGTGATAGAAAAGTTCATCTCAAATATCAACTACCAAAGTGATGGCCAACCCAATTCCTGGGTAACCTCCAAAACAACAGAGAAAGACCCACGATGTCTTGGAGACCTGCAAAACAACAGAGAAAGACCCAAGAAAGAACCATCCAAAGCAACAGGGTAAGAGTTAAGAAAGAACAAATACGCTTAAACAGCAAATCGCTTACCACCGACTTCGAAATAGCCAACTGCTTTGCGAGGTTCTATTCCCACAAGCAAAATAGCTAACTACTTTGCGAGGTTCTATTCCCACAAGCAGTAGCCAACTGCTTTGCGAGGTTCTATTCCCACAAGCAAAATAAAAAGCCTTTTGTCGGAAAATCTTCAAGAGATTTAAGATACAAGTAAGACAGTTTGGTGAAATTAAGGAAGACATAGCATCACCAAATAATATACTTACAGGATCATTCAGACCTTGTGAACTTTATGCTGCGATAAAACAACTAAGGTGAAAAAGTTGCCTTGATCCTGTATGAGAAGCTGCTGTGCATTCCCATGGATAAATTATTCAGCATTTATCAGAAAACACAATCTGGTCTAATACAAAAAAGGCAATGAGCTTGCTGACACACTTGCTAAGAAGGGGACAACGATTTTGCAATGCATGGACCGGCCGATGTCTTTCCACACAATGAAGGCCTTAATCAGGAGAGAATTCCAGACCTCAAGGTTCAACGAACTCAAAGCTCGAACAAAGGAGAAACAGTGGACAGTGGCACTCTCCGACATAGCCGACTGGCCAAGAATCGAAGCCGTTGCTAAGTTTAGACTACGTACCGGACACGAATGCTTGGCAAAAACCGTCACAGTTTGGGAGTATACACTCAATCCACATGCCTCCTAAGTAACCTACAGGAAGAATTGGAGAAGACCCACCTGATTCGATGTCCATCCATAAAGACAACGACGGAAAGCCAGAGATACTGGGAATCAAGAAGACAGCTAATGATTTGCTATTAATTTACTGCTATAAATGTACATCCCACTCATGGGGAAAGCTGAAGTCAAAGTTTAAGGGCTAATGATAAATATCACAAATCTGCCATTTGAAATGATTATAATTTTATATTTCTCTCACCTAGTTAGTTCACTCCTCAAACAGCATGAGACAACTATTTTTTTATTGGCAAAAAACTCTCATGAACTTCACTTAATTTCTCTAATAAATAATATTATATTAATGGCTTTTATGAGACCATATTGACATATGTGTTCCACCTATAAACAGGCAAGAGGGAAAGGCTTTATATTGATGTGAGATCTAAGCAACCAGCATATAATCCATCTCCATTTTGGTAAAGATAAAATAACAAAACAAAATTTTGTATAGTTGTAGATGGAAGGCGGTAGTGAATCACAGAATGAAGTCACTTCGTTGGATGGTGAAAGTCCTGCAAATAAATTACCGTCATTCGTAAAGTCTTAAAGTGAAAGCACCACATTGGAAAGTACAATCGAGTTGGAATTGCAAACAGGCGCAGAAAAGTATGTACCCTACAAATTTCCCTTCGACCAGGTAACTTGAACCGTCTAGTTTCGCGATTCCTAAGGCCTTGCCTATTTGCACAATATAAACAACATTGGAAGTTGGATATGGGAAGTGTGCCATGTTATTCGAACTGCACAGTTTTATTGATTTAGTGGGTCGATAGAAATAACTTTTCTTCCTGAACTAAGTTCATCGAAACAGACAATTTTGCCAAGTGTGTTCCCCATCCTCACAGCTTCCACTACCGACACATAATCCGCAACAAAAATGTGTCAGAATATACTCATTGGATGATCAAAATTGCTGTACTCTCTCAAGGTTACACGTAATCAATTTGAAATTTGTAGTGAAATCTAATCACCAGCATGTTAGGAGATCAAAATGTCATAGATTGAGTTTAGATATGATGCTTCACAAAGCCATGACAGTATGTTGTGCTGTGGCAGGTAGAAAGTTCCAACTAGAAATACTATGGAAGAAGGTGGTGTGCTGAGGAGAAGAATTGGTGGAGTGTACTTGCCTTAATTTAATCATCTTTTACTCCACTCCTCCAAGTGTCTGCCTCTCGGCTACCTTCGGCAAACACCATTGTGAGATCCAGATCACTGGATTCTGTTGCGAAGCCACTCGCCGAGGAGCCAAACAACTTCAACCTGGATCCTGAACACTTCTCTTGGAGTAATCGCCTCAAATCGGTGATAAACGCCTTCTACAATTGAAGAAGTGAAGAGGAGATCAGAAGTAGGAAGAAACACGCTGATTCGGCTACATTTCAGGCATCCACTTAGGTGCTGGGGGATTTGCGGCGGTGACAACTGCTCTGCCCTTACACTTAGAACACTACTGCACCCTCTCATGACTCACTAGATGGCTGGCATGGTGCCTGTCTACCTGCTTGGCTATATGTGATTGAAATCTAGGAGTGGCTTTACCTAAGAGTTCTACCGAGTGTTCTCCAGTAACAGTGACAGCACCACCAAAGTACGAAATGAACGGGAACAAATAGGTATTATAAGAACCAAATCGATTACAAGTTCAGTTACATCTTGTGCGTGAATATGAAGTCATTTAGAGCGTGGTGATACAATTGAACGACTCAACTTACTCTTATTGCGATGGTTCTGTCAGAAGGCTGAA